ATAATCAACAGATAGGCGCTCCATCAGCAGGGATGTGAAGCCAGAACCGGTTCCCCCACCAAAGTTGTGGCCCTGGAGACCTGTGCACTGGTCAGCCAGTTTTCTTATTCGGTCCAAGACGAGGTCAATGATCTCTTTGCCGATGGTGTAGTGCCCACGGGCATAATTATTGGCAGCATCTTCCTTGCCTGTGATGAGCTGCTCAGTAATGTTTTAAGAGAGAAGCATTTTGGCGAAGAACAATGTGGTGACATTGAAAATAAAGAACAGTGGATAGGGATGAGATTACTTTGGGAGTGGAAAGGGATAAAGACTAAATATGATAAATAAGTATGAAGGTAGTAGATTAAAGAAGTAATAGATGAAAATATCCAGGTTTTTGGTTGTTTTGGTTTTATCTTTACGATTAATAAGTGTTAGCTCATAACAATTCTTTGTTATTTAAGGTATGAATATACCCCACAGAGGTCTCAAGGTTACAAGTTTTTGGAATCAGACTTCCAGCCCATGCTTTTGAAGAGATTCCGAGTCAGTCTGTACTGCCTGCCTTTTTCTTAGCAGTTGAGTGCTAACCCTTGTTTCCACTCAGGACTCTTACAAATGTTATAGTGTTGAGTCATTTCTAACTTACGGTGATTTCTTATGTCCACAGCAGAATTGCACTTTAGGGTTTTCAAGGATGTCTTTTTGTCAGAGGGCAGACAGTACTTTTTCAAAGGTAGACAGTTTGGCTTTAACTCTGAGGTGCCTCTGGGTGGATTTTAATTTCTAAGCTTTCCTGAAGTAGTCCAGAGCTTAATAATTTCCACCGTCTATGGACTATTACTTAATTACTTATTACTTATATTACTTAAAAAAAAATCTAAATTCCCTGCCATCAAGAAGTAAATCCTGACTCATAGCCACTTTCTTTTGCATTTCCAAGGCTTAGAAACTTAAGGGAGGAGACATCCATCTTTCTCCCTCAGAATGACTAAGGAATTCCTATCTTAAACTTTTTGGTTGGCAGCCTAAAAGTTCTGGACTATGTGACCAACATTTCTTAATGAGTAAATCATCCAAACCAAGCCCATTGACTTTGAATAAATTCCAACTCAGAATCACAATCATATTTCTGAGGCTATACATTTTTATGGAGTAAAATTTCTCCCAAGGAGCATCTTGTAGATTAAAATGTGCATTTTGTTTAACAGCTCAATGAATAACTCATTATACCTCTAGGGCTCCTTAATAAGTCAATTAAAAACTCATGATAATCCAGTCCAAACCAACTCAGCTGACCCTGCAGGAGATTTTTGTATACTGTGTGTTTTCTTCCTGGGAGCCTCTTTTAGATTTGAACTACCAAAGATGCAACAATTTTGAGTTAGCCATAAATACCCTATGGCAACAATACACCACACCAGTTATTGTTTTTATTGTGTGACCTCAAGTCAGAATAAACTCATATCTGACCCTCCAGTGGGTTTTCAGAGGCAGTTAAATCACATGGGAAGAGATTGTTCATCATTTTTCCAAGGAGTAACTGGTGAATTTGAACCTCAGCTGTTGTTTGTTCTTTATTTTACAAAATGAATATATCTTTAATAATGTTACTGAACAAGAAGTATGTGGGGTGAAGCATAAATTGGAGATTAGAAAGTGGTTATAGTCAAGACAAAGAATACTTTTGAGGAAGTGTATAGTATAAAGGAAATAACCAGAAGTTTCTTAAGGTATCTATCATCTAAAAGAGACTACAATAGTCCAATAACGAAGGGAAAATTAGGTACACAGAAGTTAAAGAACATAGATAGAACTGCACTGAATTAACCTAATGGCATCCAATAATTTTATTGTAAAGTCATAATAACATCAACCATTCACATCCAACAAATGTGTTTCTCATTTACAGCTATTCTGAAAATAAGAAACGAATTCTCACTTTTCCATCTGAAACCTATCTTATCTCTTCTATATTATTTTACTGTTATTTAAATTCACTTCAAAGAAGAAAAGTATTAAACCAAATGTCAAAAACCTGACATCAAATCCCAAAGAAAGCTTACAGTTTTTGGGTGTTCAGAATTTAAAAACTGTGCAGCTTTTTAAAAAAATCTATTTGTATTCAGAGAATATTTTATTTCCTCAACTCTTTCTTTTATTTCTATCTAACGGAGGATATATACAACAGATTTTATTTTTGTAAAGGCAAATCCACATAGTCAAGTACAATTCCATCAATTGTCAGCCATAATTTGCTATGATCCACACAGTAAAAGGCCTTTGCATAGTCAATAAAACACAGATCATCCTTCTAATATTCGCTGCATTCAGCTAGGATTCACCTGACATCAGCAATGATATCCCTAGTGGTATGGATTCTTCTTAACCTAGCTTGAATTGTTTGATAATTCCCACATTCCATTGAATCACCTTTATTGGGAATGGGAACAAATATGGATCTCTTCCAGTCAGTTGGCCAGATAGCTTTCTTTTTTTTT